CGACCAACCATCATCATCATCATCATCATCATCATCATCATCATCATCATCATAATTAGTAGTAGTAGTAGTAGTAAGTAAAACTACAAGCTATTTGCTCCTTTTGCTAAGGGATAGTCTTAATTTTGTTATTTATTCATTTATTTAAATAGATTTTCCATAATTTTGTTAATAAATGATGCCATTTTTCAAGGTACCAATGAATTTCCAAATCACATAATACCACAGTTTGTTTTGACATTCACCAGCAAATTGTCCAGTTTCTCTTACTTTTAAGGGCTGTGCAAGATGCAATTTGTCAGTTGCAAAATTAACAAAGAAACAAAATCTAAGTTAGATTAATCATAAATTACTCTTTCATTCACAGTTAATAGGCCCCTAGATTTACAAGATATCTTCTGTTAATTTTGGAACTGTTTCTGTGGTCTTCATTAAGACAAACGTTTTTGAATAACAGAAGAGAAAAGAGTTAAACTTGCCAAGGATGTTTGGAGGTCAAATCAGAACCTCATAATTGTCAAAGCTTTCAGATTTGGAGGACTATAACCACCCAGATATTTCTTGGGAGATATCTAAGGTAAATGTGCCATTATTGTCATAGGAATGAATTCCTGATTGTCTACTTTCAAGTTATGGGGTAAATCAGACAGGAACCAGGCACACAAAAGTCTAGAGCAATAGTGAACCAAGCAGTTCAACATGGACCTTTGGTACAGCAGTAAAGCTTAGAGATAATGTAGGGGTTGGAGATTGTATGTGAACAACATATTGAAGCTCTTTTTAACAGACATGCATATAACAAGCAGGTTTTGTTAGATATACAGGTAGTCCTCCACTTATGACCATTTGTTTAACAACCGTTTAAAGTTATGAAGGTGCTGAAAATGACTTACGACCAGTCCTTGCACTTACGACCATTGTAGCGTCCCCGTGGTCACATGATCAAAATTTGGATGCTTGGTAATTGGCATGTATTTACAACAGTTGCAGTGTCCCGGGATCACATGATCACCATGAGCTCTGTGCAGAGAGGTGGGTATTCCAACTTATCTGGAGGGGACCAGGTTGAGAAAGCTGCATTACATTGATGTTTTAACCTGGAAGCTGTTGTTTTGCAAGCTAGATACTAGCAATGCTGTCATTGTTTTGTGTCAGGTTGCAATAATATGGTAGTGCTATCTTCTTTTGGGTTTGAGTGAGAGATAGAATTTTAATCTAGTTTGCTTCTTCCTGAAAAAGACCTCCAAACAGATGCATGCATTTCAGGAAAGAGCTGGATAATAATTCCTTGTTGGTAATCCTCTGGGCCATCTTGAATGTTACGGTGGAAAGGTTTTGGGATTCTCAGGCATAGATGGATGGGGATGGGTCAAAAAGAGTACAAACAGAACAGAGGATAAAATTCCCCAATACACAAATCTCATATATAGAAGTAACCTTGCTACATAAGCAATTGCAGAATGAAAAAAGTGTGAGAAATGCAGGAAGCTCCCTGGGTTATGGAAACAAATCTCTGCGTTCTGGGTATTTCACTGCTAATGACCCACGAAAATCAGGGCTGTGGTTCCAGACCTACTTTTGTTAATTCCTCTTGAAATAAAATGTCTTCTGCACCCACCTGTAGAAAAATTGTATTCTTCTCTGGGGATGTGATTTAAGAAGTGCAGATCTCCTAACTTTCAAAGCTATGAAAAATTTTAGTGAGATTGGACATGAGGCACTCTTCAAGAAGGGATTCACAAGGCAACTCTAAAGTTGGACAGCCCTTTCCAAAAGTTCTTTAATTCTTGCTTATCTTTTTAACAGATTTTCCTAGGTAGTCTAAACTGATGAGGAGGTAGTTGGGCAAGACCCCATAAGAGGTTTTATAGTTAATGAGGGCTATGAGGAGGAGAAAAAAGAAGTGGTAATTCCATAGCCACTACAATGTCGTTAATATACAAATTAAAATTAAAAGGGGCAAGTAGAAAATCCTGTTTAACACCCCTCTCCATTGATACGTGGTCTGATAGAGATCTTTGGGGGCCCATTCTCACTTTAGTATAGTGTCAGTATGGAGTTCAAATATTAGACTTAGTAGATGTCTTTCAATATCTGTCCTTTTAAATTTCTCCCATAATCAGGGCCTAGCTGTTGAATCAGAGCCAGAAGTGAGATCAGTAAGTGCTACGTAAAGTTGTTTTTTGAATCCATTGATGTACTTTTGAATTAAGTCTTTCAGAGTAATACGGTGATTTGTCATGCTGTGGTGTTTACAAATCCTGCCTGTTTCGGATGTTAAAAGTTTGTGACTTCCTCCTGGTCCCCCAGTTTATTCAGGAGATGTCAGGCAAAAAGCTTGGAGACTGATTGGGTATTAGTTGGAATGTTCTTGCCAATTGCCCTTTTTAAAAATTGGATACCTTGTTTCTAGTTATTAGGTAAACTACAGAAACAGATGTTTACAAGCTTTACTTCAAGCAACAGTTTTATATCTTAATTAGCGTTAAGCATTAATCGTACTAGGTCTTCAGATGTAATGTGTGCTATGACGTGCATTTACATTGTCTGCAAAAGAATACTGGCACCTTATGAAAACCAAGGATGAATGGAAGGCAGGAGAGATTCAGAAATGTCTTCTTAGTTATAACAGGCCATTTGGGGAAAAAGGAAATGCTTACTTGATTCAGAGAGCAGTGCTAAATATATGGGGCGCAGAGCTGTCTTCCGTACTACCGTTGCTGAAATTGTAGATTAACATGAGTGTAGGATAAGACCGTTTTGCTGGAAGGTTTGTGCTCCTTGCGTTTTTCATACAACGCGATATTGAGTAGGGGCACTTCATCTGTTCCTCTGCCACAGGGGCTCTTAAATTGGGGCTAATTTGGGCATATCCTGGGGGTAATGGAGCAGTTTGTAATTGCTTGTTTGTGAGTCAAGGATCCAGTTTGGGCCTCCTGCTGCCAGGACACATGTAAAACAACAGTCTTTTTTTTGTGATGTGGGGGTAATGACATTATTTGAAACTGGGAAAGGGAGTAATTGGGTCAATCAGTTTAAAGAACCACTGATCTAGCATCATCTGGTCATCTTTATTCTGATTATCCTACAATACCTGTGAGTCCAGCTGGATCTTCCAGCTCTAAATCTGACCAGATGACAAACTATCCCATTTCTGCTAATATTTACAACAGAAAATGGGCAGTTAATTGCTAGTAAACCTCTAAGATCAACCTAGATAATCTCTAAAGAAACAGGTAAATATTTTCATTCGAGAAAAGGGAAATTTCCAAGTACACTGGGTTTCCGAGCAGTATTGCGATATTTCTAACATGGATTTTAAAGCTGATTTCTGCTAGGGATTTAAACAACAGTATTTAGCTAGGTCAATAATTCCTGCTGTTCCCTCACTAACCACTTGTTTTTAAATCCTTAGTGCCTTCTTTTCTAATAGCCAGTTTCATACTGACTTCTAAGTCACCCTGATGATCAGGCATCTTTTTTAAAATTCCAGCTTGAATATCCTGCTCTTCCTTGTTTTTCCTTAATCACCTTGATTCTTGTCTCAGATAAATAGACTGTTTTGCTTTGCTTTGTTTGTTCATTCTCTCATTAGAGTTTGTTGTGGCTGCTTCATGCAAGATGAAAATTATTTCCAATACCTTTTAATGACTGCTGTCAGGATATTTAGTCATCCCTTTCCTCTAGTTTGACCACATACCCCAGACCAGTTTATAGTGGAAGGGGAAAAAATAGGTATGACTGGAGAACGTGGAAGATTCGTTCTCTACATCTTTATGGAACTGACAGCTAGACTGAACATGTTTTTCAACACTGGTAACAAATTTAAATGTTTAAAATCCTTTTTGCCAACTGAGTAAGTACATATTTGCTCTTCTCTTCCATTCAGCCTTTCTCAACTTTTTTTTAACATGGAGGAACTGTTGAAATGATTTTCAAATCTCAGGGAATCCCTACATAAAAATGTTCAGGTCTCAGGGAACCCATGCATAAAAGTTACTTATCCAGCGCTTTTTTTTTTCTGCAAAAAATAAAAATCCACAATACAACTGATTTCTAACATAGTCTACATTTTACAACATTTATAACAATAGCAGGCCAGCAATTGAGTCTAGTGCATAAAAATTCTCATCATTGTGAGTGCTAATATTGCATGGTGTCATGACATTCAACAAATTATGTTTATGTTTTTTTCAGTTACGATCTCACAGAAACACAGTTGAGAAAGGCTGGTTTAATTATTTAATTCATCCAATGTATGATAAAATGAATATAATCAAATGGTTAAAAATACACCGTGCAGCATTTTGAACATAAATCCATCAATCTCACCTTTCCTGCCTCTGATTTCCCATAGCAGTTCAGCCTTTGCCCTGAATTACAAAGTTGAATATTTAAAATATTTGGTACGTTTATAACCATTCAACTACCCTGCATGGCCTTACCACAATAACAATGCAGTCATAGTTGATTTGCTTACAACCAGCTCATAAAAAATATTCAGCACAAAGAGAGAGATTTTTGACACTAATGTAACTTAGCCCTAGCAAAAATGCTAAGTTGAATCATATATTTCAAAACTGTTCCTTGCATATCTTCCAAGTTACTGTCCTAAAAAAAGACATTTTTTCTTATTGCAACTAGTTTTGCAGTTGCCTTGATGCACATTAAGTCACAACTTGTATTCTGAACTTTTCCATACTATGCCAAATTGCAGTCATTGTACATAAAAATAAAGGCTACACTATTTAAGTTACCACCTTAGCATTAAAGAAGACAATGGATGTTGGCTAATTAATTTCTTAGTGAATCTGACTTGCAGTCCTGGAAATAGAAATATTGGCAAGTAGCTATGAATAATCAAATCTGTGGTGTATTCCCCTGTCCCTTTTCTATTAGTATTTCTGTTTGTTGACTTCCCTTGGAATCAGCCAGGCTTTGCAAATACATTTCCAAGTGCTAGCTGTTAACTGGTGGGATCACAGAAGTAGAGAGACGAGTGATTGGTAGACTGGAATCTAGTTCTCAGATCTTCTGGCCTTCCATTGTCAAATAGACAAATGAATTATTACTACTATCATAATTCTCAGAATATTTCCAAATCAAGCTTTCTAATATAACATGCTTACATGAAATACAAAGAAGATGCATGCAAGCTAAATCAAAACTGCATCTATACTCCTAAAAATATATATACTGCACTAGCAAAAAGTAAAGATCTGGTGCTGATTTGCTAATTCCCCTCCCATTCTGTTTCCCTGTTCTTCCCCACAGCTTACTGAGACAGGTCCAGGTATCAACTGCTTGGAGTCCATGTGTTGCCTCTCAGATGGGGAACCAGCCTGCACATCTCTTAGAAGAATGTTGGAACGAATAATGGGACGATGCAGCCCAACCCGAGTCAACAGGTGTGGAATTTCTCTCAAATGCCTTTGCTGCAGACAGTTCTCCTATAAACTGGAACACAATGAGCCGACAACTATAGATGTCTAGTCAAAGACAGGAAACCATCTTCCTAGGTTCAGTTTGGATCTTAGAAGATCCAAGCATATGCTTTTAATGTGGGGAATGAGAGATCGTTGCATTACTGATCGTTGTTGAAAAACTGGTTGAATTTTTATTATGCCATCTTTTCTCTGATCCCACAACTGCTATTGTGCCTTTAGTGGCTTTGGCAGTACAAGCTGCCTCACGTGAGCACTCCCCTGTTCTTTTTGAGTACCAGCCAATGATTCATAAGTGTGCAGGGCAGCTTTTACTCGCTCTGAGCTTCCTGTGTGCATCATTTTTGCCTTTCTACTTATGTGCACATTTCAGCATAGTTTTCCCCCTTCCCTTGTATGTCCTCTTCCTTAAAATCAGACCACTGTCCTTTTTGCCCCCTCCCTTGGTTTAGCTGCTTTGCCTTTTGAAATCAGAAGGCTTGTCCTGTGTTTGATCAACATGTCTCCCTTCTAGACATACAGCAAAGTTTCATTTTAGCTCTGCAAGGATTGCATGTTCTCCCCTGAAACTTTCACTTTCAGAACAAAGGAAACTTTAGATTTCCTCTATTGTTCAGTGACTGTGTAAAAATTCGTTATTTTTAACAATATGAAATAAAGCTCACACTTGAATTTAAAAAAATAATCTAACGCCACCCAAAATTATGTTTAAAAATAGACCTTTTTTAATGAACACTATGCCACTCAGAAATAAATGCTAAACCTATTTATACATTCACTAATTTATACAGGTCCATTTTTTAAATTTTGAAAAGATCCTCAGCAGTAAAATTAAATAGAGCCATTTCTTAATTTACAGAAAGTTCTGTCTGTTGCATCTTCCTATTAAAAGGAACAGGTGAGAATTCTACAGAGATGTAGAAAGAGAAGGTTGGGAAATCAGTTTTTGCCCAGTGTTTCTATATGCTTGTATAAATGACAGGTTAAGACTGTTTTCTACTTTCCATGATGGTTATTAGCCATCCTTTTCAAACATCAGCTGAGAACACATTGTTCAACCTTGGTCACAATTAGAGAGCAGGAAAGCAGCAGTTGAAGCTGAGATAAGATGAGATCAAGTTATTAAGGGGAGATTCCCAGTTTGAGGGAGACAAGCTAGGACAAGAACAAGGACAGAGTATGGATGTCTTGCAGTCCTCTTTGGGTTGCAAGAGAAATCAGTAGGATACTGCTTTCAACAGATCTGTAGAAACATCTGAGGATATTCCAAATGGCCCAAAGCAGGTTAGGTATAGGGCTACTAGGTCTAGGTGGCAAAAAAGCCAGACAACCATTGGATGGCACAGAGAATTAGTTTTTTATATCTGTTTGCTGCTATCTAGAGGTCATTTGGATGTTTACAGTCCTAATTTAAGGATGCAGTAGCCTTCATTTAGTTGTTATTTTTTTAAAAAAAAGTTGGATAACTTACTATGGTCACTTATAAATTGTCCTTCCCAGTGCTCAGCTCTTCCTGAATGTTTCCTTTTTTTATTGTTTTTTTCTAAAACAAAAATATCCTCAAGTGTGTTAACCCCTCCGCAGCTCCATTTTAAGTTTTTACTAAAGTGTTTTTTTTTCCTTCATAAAATGGGAACCGTTATGAGCCGGATTTAAAAAAAAAAAAGTAACCTGTCTCTCTTTGTACAGAAAGCAGGCAAGATGTATAAAATAAAATATTTCCTAGACATTTTTAAAACAGGAGTAGTATCTGATTGATCTAACATTAGCTTTTTCTCCCCCCTGTAATGGTTTCTGATAAAGTATATTTGCACATCTTGGGTATTCTCCGCCATTAGAATGCCTACCTGCCATTACGATGAATGGAGTTTGTACGGAATGAGGTCTTGCCTGTTTCAGGATTACCTGGCAGGAGGGTATATAGTGTGTCTCTGTTATTCAGCATGCAGAGATACTTGGCACTCACTCCCCTGCAAGTATCATGTCAGGATTACTTCAGCCCAGGGGTTTCCACAGAGTACACATTGCACACAAAAAACAGGCAGAGCTTTGATCAAACCATCATGGCTGCCATCTTGACTTTTTCAACCACACCTGATAGATAGCCCTGCTTCAGCCCCATGGTCAAAGACAGCAACCTTGACTGCACCAGGATTCTCATATCAAGCTCTTTCATTTTCACCCTTAGAAATGATTGCTATCCATGTCACTTCTATGTGTGAGAGAGTTATGTTTGTAGTCACTGTTGGGTTGTGTGCATGCAACACCTGTAACCCATTCAGGCAAAAACATAGCAGATTCATTCTCATTATATGCTAAGCTTGGTTGGTGTAACTTTGGCTAGTCTTTTTGTCTGGCTTAGCATGGTGTTCAGACCATGACCACTAATGGAACAAGAGATTTCGCAAATCCACAAAAGTGGGTTAACTAGCTAATGATGGTAAGCATGCAGTCTGAATGCAACCTTGGATTGGAAATTAAAGTTATTTCAGAGAGTTTACTCGTATCTCAGTAGCCCCATCTTAGTCATATGACAATGTGATGCTACACATTGAGACGAAAGTAGTGATTTATTCAGAGGTCAATGAATCAATGAACATTGAGAGATTAATGTAACAATGTCAGTAAGAGAGGAGGTCACAAGTGTTTTTCCTAGATATGGTTCTTGCAAAAGGTAGGTATCATCACCTTCAAAATCAACTTTGAATAAATACATCTTGTGATTTTTTTAAAATGTTTTTCTGTTTGGAACATCTTGGGTCATACATGGATATGATTTGACTCTCATGTTTGATAGAAGATGAAATACTCACTCATATGATCTGCTAAGAAAGCATACTGATACGTGTAAGATGTATTGCCAAAATACTATTTTGAAATTCTGCTGATTTTTTTTCCAATTAGAATGAACTTCTAAATTGTCTTTAGTTTCTTTTTTAAAAATACAAGATTTAAAATTGTACTGCCTTCCAGGCACTTTGAAACTGGGGTCTAAACTAGAGTATTTAGTAATGCAAAAAATGCTTTTACTTGAATAGAACTCGATCGTCTAAAAGTGAGAGTTTAACAGTAATGACACCCCAGGATAGTACTGTCATTTCCCAGACCAATTTGGTTGGGACCAAATTATTGGGCCATATCATACTTCAGTATTTAGTTCCCTAACTAAGCAGAATTACTAAGTAATGCATACCTTCAAGGTGCAAAATTCTCACACACTTTGTAACCATTCCTTGTGAGGAAGCAGAGATGCAGAGTGGGCTTGGGCTTATACTTTGACTTGAGAACATTTTAGTCACCTTTGTTACAATAGTAGCTGACCTGGGTATAAGCTAAGAACATTTCCACAGTGCTTTACAGAAGGGGCCCATGTTCCCAAGTGAAATATTTTTTGCAGACCATATCTCTTTGTTTGGTCTGTCTTAAGATAATCAGTAGCATAGATGGAACAGCCTTGCTTCATCTGTGGAGCATTAGACAACCCTCCACTTCTATCATTGTGGAGATGATCAGCCTCATCTGAAGCACATTAAGATGCATTTCAGGTGGAGCGTTCCAAGAGCAATATCTTCTTTGTACTTAATATTCTGTCAAATATGAGGATTGGAGTGTGAAATCAAGACCTATTGATTTATTTGGATGAGTGATCTCATATTTCATCTAATTGTGCTTAAATGCTTGGAGTATAAATGAAAAAGATATAGTACCTAACATTCTCTTTAATATAATGAACGTATATTTTAATTAATTAAATTAATACAATTTTAGAGCCATTTCTTGTTTTTCATTGTGCACAGCTTTCTCTGAATCATCAAAATCTGTTGTTCGTTTCTCTTCCATCCAATTGTCACTGCACTGATTGCTCCAAATTCAATGTTGCGTTATTAAATATACCCACTTATAGTGTTTTGCTCAGCTGATTTTGGATGGGTGGGGGTAGATCTCTTATTTGGGGATTGGGCACTAAATATTTCATTGCTTGAGTTTCTTAATAGCTCTGTTCGTGTGCATAATCAGCATTCTGGATGCATAATTCTCCTAGAATACAGTGGTTTGGCCCTGTTTTCTATGAGAGGAAAAAGTTCCAGACCATGCCTGTTTGCATAAAACCTCTACGCATATAGAACTCTGGATCACAGTAACTGTATCAAAGCAAGTCCTGTTCCTATAAAGAAGCCTTGTCCCCATATTATAATTCTGATCTAATAATATAGGTCTTCCCAAGACACACGTGGAATTATACCATTTCTGATCTTAGGTCTGGGAATTTTCTGCATCTCTATGCCTAATTTGTCACCAGAACTTTGGATCATATCTTAGATATTTTGGATATATGTATCTGGAAACACATGGGACCCAAATTCAGGTTTCCCATCAGCAACATTTCTTTCTTATTATTACTCTAGATCATGGAGCTCTACGGAACCTTTCTGTACCAGCGACCGAAGCTTCTTGACGTTATCCACAATGGACTCAATTACTTGAGACTTTTCTCAGTGCCTTGTGGAAATCCATGACATCTTTGTTGTAGCAAATCTGCCACCCCCTTACAGCATCTTATTTCAATGTCATGGGCAGGTTCATATATTGAAAGAAAAGGAAGATTTAAGCTTGGTATTTGCCACAAACTCTGTTGAAAAACTGATCATTGAAGTTGAAACATTAACATTGTTTAGATGGATACTCTTAATTTTCCATGGTCATATTAATCAAGAAAATAATAATATGCTAGAATCTCTTCAGAAAAGAGATTGCTTTGGTTCCCAGATATCCACAACTAATGATCAAAATATGAATGGTGTTGCTAAATTGAGAAACCATAACCTCCTTCTCCACAAGCTGAATAGATCCTCCTTCATAAATTGTCTTAGCTAAATCTGAAAGATTTTGAACATGGAAAAAAAAATCTTAAGGAAGCTGTTAAATAAATTAGCTTTATTTCTGGACATTCATGATTCCAATTTGAGGAAAGGGATACTTTTTGGGGTATTACTTTTCTTTTCCCCCCACCCCCAACTATGTATTTAATCATATTATACTCTTGTTGAGAGCACTTAAGAATTCTCCCTGATTTTGCAGGGGCGGCAAAAATACACAGCAGCGCATGTACATAGTTTATATCGAATGAACTGCATGCTGTTCAGGACAATAAACGAGATTATGGCCTTGGCATAAAGAAGTTGCGTCTTTCAATTCTCGATCTAAATCGAACAGTGCTTGTGGGCCAAATGCCACAAAAGGAGACTGAAAGCCATAACCCCCGTCTCTCCTTCCCACATTTTTCCAATAATGTATTGGAGGGAGACGAAAAAGCACTGCATTTGCTATTGACACTCCAGGCCCACATCTGTGGCTGCAGAGAACATGTCATTGAGCACTTTTTTTTCTTTTTCTTTTTTTTGCCGGCAGTGATTTTCATGATGCAAGATTGCTTCTCTGGGTACCTGCAGATCAGTTATAAGGTCATCTTTCCCACCCCAAGATTTGGGAGGCAGCTGCCCCATCCTTGTGGGTGCCTGCTTCCAAAAATTAACCAGTTTTCATAAACTCCACTGTGTAACACTCTGAACTGGCCATATACTTGCATGGCTTTTAGGAATGGCAACTACTTTTATGTTATTTTCCCCCATTATGAGCAGAGAGGATGATTCAGTATGACAGTGTTTTTCAAACTTGGGAACTTTAAGATGTGTGGACTTCAACTCCCAGAATTCCCCAGTCAGCATGCTGGCTGGGGAGTTCTGGGAATTGAAATCCACACACCTTAAAGTTACCAAGTTTGAAAATCACTGCAATATGACAGTAGCCTTCTGACAGAGTGCCATTCAAGGGCATGGACAAAGCAGAACTTTTCAGGGAGTTGCCTCTTACGATCAGCAGCCTGCACTTGCATCAGTGTGTGTGAAGTACTTCCCTTATGCCAAACATTATTTACTTGTTTTATTTCTATCCTGCCTTTCTACCCAGAGTTCTTATTTAAAGGAGCGCCATTTCATCACTGTCATATATCATGCATATCCATCATTTCCATTCTGGTTTGTCTTTTTTTTTCTCCCCCAAAATGAATTGTTAAAGAATCCAAATTGAAAAATTATCAAACTCCAAGCATTTATTAAAATCCATGTCATACGATTAATATTTCCACTTTGGTTTTGTATGACGTTAGAACTGACCTCTTTTTGTCCACAGAAAGATGAATTGACTTATTCGAAGATGAACTGACTATCATATTTTTTTAAACTTCCCATTTCTTTCTCCTCCCTCCTCAGTGTATGTAAGGGTGCAGAAGAAGCATACATTTAAACAAATTCAGGAAGAGTTTAAGAATCCATCTGTCCAAGCCGGGTATCATTTTCTGTCTAAGGGGCAAAAGTAACAACAGAGTGAAGACGTGCTTCCTTCTCCTGTTTGTTGTTCTATGACCAGCAAGACTGGGGTCAAATGGAAGGAAAGCAGATGTATTTTACATCGGATCACAATAACTTTCATCATTTCTTTCTATGAATGTATGTGTATTTTAGTAACTCATTATGTTTATTTCTAGGTTGAGTATTAGGCCAAAACACATTGCAGAGCAAAGAAAAGCAAATGTAGGAGCTCATGTGAAATTAATGAGTTATATCAGATTAGGTGATATTATTATAACAGTTGAGATAAGCCAAGGAAGGAAATAGGCTGATTTTCCTTCATTACATTTTGTAGGGGAGATGGGATATGTTCTTTAAGTCTTTCCAGGGCCTGGAGAGTGTATAAAGAAAAGAATGTAACTTTTTTTTCCAAGTCCAGTAACTTTGTGGACATGGACAGGTAATTTTCTTGGCAGCTATACAAAAAATGGATTGCCACTGACATTTTCTGGAATAGTTTTTCACCATCCCAGTCCAGGCTACCACTCTGGTAACATCATGCCCACTTAATGTTTTGCTCCACTGCTTTCCTGAGCTGCAGACTCTGCTATTCTAAATTAAGATGTCATGGGTGAGATGTTCATAGAAGAGTCTTGTCCTGGTGAACAAGTGAAGCATCTTACACATAGTGCATGGAAGTGTAGAGGATTCAGGACAGAAGGAGCTCAAGACAGCCCTTGACAGTGATGTCAGTGGAGAACTCTGGAAGTACATCAGATCTCTGTTGCGCTCAGCAGTTTCTACATCAGTTGCAGGAGGGGAGGTTAAGTGGTTCAAAAAGCCGCCATCTCCATGCTCACTGAAAATGAAGCAAGTCACATTTTTCTTTCTGCCATAAGATGGCCCAGTATAGATTGGCTCTAGGTGAGATCTTCATGTCTCAAGTACATGAAAAGTCTCCTGATTTCAACCCCAATTTGTACAGAGTGTGTGAGAATCACATTTCCATTATGAGGTAGTTTTTCAGTGGGTGCCCTCCAGGTTCTGGAGTATGTTCTGCGCCACTCTCTTGGGTGGAAGAAGTGGAAGGTTCTGAAAAATGTTTGTCTAATTTTTGGTAACTAAAATCTGTGGTACTTTTACCTTGGGAGACTTCGTGTCTGTTTCATCTCAGCTGCTGGCAGTGTGGCATTCAGCGGATTGAATTGCTGTACACCTCAGTATAATTTAATTAGAAGGAATGGAAAGGAGATGTCCTCCCTTCACGATAACCTGTAATAATCAGGCCGTGTTGCTTTTGTAGAATGTACAGGGTGCAGTGCATGCCATTCCTGAAGACTCAAGAGATTGACCAGATTTAAGACCCTCTATTTCAACGAGGCATGGTGTCATTTCATGTAGAACAAAAGGGTTGGCAATGGATGGGGACTGACCATCCTCCAGCATGTAGTTGTTTAGAAGAAGAAATTTAGGATTGACGTCTGTCCCCAGATTCAGCCACCATATGTACACAAAACTCCCATTATAAATCACTCAGTTAAGGAACTCACTTATCTGCCCCTTGATCCTATAGAGACTGATGCCTCCTAAAATTCAATCCATTGTCCTTGCAACTAAAAGGGTACTAACTTCCCACCTGCAAAATGGATGTCAAGTTAAATTTGTTCCACATGATATTCAGGTGCTAGACATTTGGAAGAATTTCTAGATGGCAAGAACTGCCAGCCAATGAATAGACTGTCCTATGAAGACTTTTCACTGGAGGCCTTCAAATGGGCTGGACCATCATCTGTCCCAAAGGCTTTAGCAGTTCCTGCACCAAGTAAAGGGCTGAATTAAATGACCTTTGAGATTCCTTCCAACCCTATAATTCTATTGTTTTATTTCGGTATGTCCTATTAAGAAAGGGCTGTTATAAATTTTGATTAGTTTGGCACTTTAAATAAAGTCATATATGGAAGTGCAGCTGAACTTGTATAAACTCTGTCAATAAAACAACCTCACACAAGAAAAAGATGCATTTTAGATTGCTAAACATTGGCCAGCGATCCAAAGAAACATAAGTGTACCTTTTTTAATTCTAAGTTTTTTTTAGGGTAAAAGGAATTTGCATTTGTTTAAAAATAATACTCCAGATTTTCTGTGTTTAACAAGTGATCAGAAACTTAATTGTAAAACTTCAATGTTCAGGCATATTCAGTCATTTCAGTACTGGGTTTATATGTCCAGTAATAAGACAATTCTCATGAAATGAAGTTACACCCAATTTATCAGATTGGCAGCATACATAGGTGTATTTTGTTTTTAAGTATTATATCTCTTGTTCAATTTTGTGCATAGGGTTATTGGCAAGATTGCTTTCTTGAATGTTAAGATTTTGTCTCTATTTCAGTGATTAATATTAGCTAAGTAACATGAGTTGCTCGTCTGAAAATTGGATTGGTTCAGCTGCTTGGTTTGGTCTTCTGTAGGCACAGATGAACTGTCCATCACCGATCTGAAGTATACCTCAAGCTAAACCACAGTGTGCTAGTTTTGTTGAACAATTCACAATTGTTGGGCATCCCACAATAACATAAACTGTGGCTGAGTATGATGCTTGAATCCAGACCTCTAAGCCATGCAGCTGTCCTGCTTCTGCTGAATTCTTCCTATACCATTGGCTTCATATAGGAATCTGTAGGTCTTTGGCTACAAATAAATTGATTTAGAACTGCACTTGGAGTGGGTCAGTGGTCCAAAATATATGTTATATGGAGAAATACTCGGGTTCAATACCAGCTTCACCAGGTAGTGTTGGAATAGACTCCGCTGAAACTTGAGAATTCAACTGCTGGAATATTAGTAGGTAGTCCTCACTTAACAACCACAACAGGGACCGGCAACTCCATCATTAAGCGATGCAGTCATTAAGTAAAACACATACCAGATTTACGATGTAAGTTTAGCTGCAGTCATTAAATGAATCACCTAAGCTGATTGAGACATCACATGACCGCAACTTGCAATTTCACTGCCTGCTTCTCCATTGACTTTGTCTGAAGCTGGCTGTGAAGATTGCGAATGGGGATCACATGACTGTGGGATGCTGCAACCGTCATAAATGTGCACTGGTTGCAAAGTACCCAAATGATTATGTGACCACATGGACGCTACAACAGCTATAAGCTCAAGGACTGGTCATAAAGTCACTTTTTCAGCACTGTCATAACTTCAGTCACTAAACAGGGCAGTCGTTAACTGAGGACTACCTGTATGGGGACAAATGCTTTGATGTGTTATAGGACAGTTTCTTTTAATATATATTGTCACTGTGATAACCCTACTAATGAAACTCTCACAGGTGCAATATGGAGATTGCAGTTTTTGGACATGCTAAAGATCCCCAATCCTTCTAGAACAGATCCACTAGAGCAGCTGAAGTAGAAGGCGTGATTGCAAAGCTGCTTTTAATTCTTAATGGTGGATGGAATTAAAGGTAGACCCTAGCTCTACAGGCCAAGCTGGTTATATCGCTATGATTTAAAAAAACGCAGTAATGTAGAGATTGCAGCTGCTTTGCACATGTCCTTTTTTCTTCTGTGTTTTAGAGATGCTTGAGATGAATGCTGAGGCCCTGGCAAGCGGGCTTAAACAAATGCTTTAAAACTTCATCCTGGGCTTCATCTATAGGCAGTAACATGCTTAAGTCTGTGGTTTTATGTGTATTTAATCGGAGTAGCTTCCATTGAACATAATCATACTTAATTTGGGGAAAAACATACAGGATAATGCTTTAATTAATGAATTGATTTCAGCAAGATATAACTCACTGTCACCAGATTAGAGCCAAATGTCTGGTTTTAAGGAAACCCAACATAATAAACAGTACTAATTTTTGTACTTTCATAATGAATGGCCATTATTTTTGAGAGATCTGTGTCATTTTAGTAGCAGATTGAGAGATGTACACACTCCTTTGTTTAGAAAATTCTATATTTTTAAATTTTAGATTGCAAATGAGATGCTGTTCCCACTATGCCAAAGATGGCTTCCTAAAATGTGCTTGATTGATTCTGTCCTTATGCTCATGAAGAATGAACCATAATGATTATCTGTTTTAAACGAGCATGATTGGGTTAACTGGTCTTAAATTTTGGAAAGACTCCTGAATATTCCTGTTGGGAGGATACAAAGTGCACTCCCTCTTCTTCTGAATTGCTTTGGCTCAAGTTGTGCGCGTGGAGGGAGCAGAACCATCTGGAAGCCAGAGCAATATCTGGTCTCAAGGACTCTTGACTGCAGACACTCTGGCCACCCACCATCATTTTGAGATGCTTTCTGGCAACAGAGTTGAATACAGCTTCCTGTACTGCTATGTCAATAAGTTGTTATACAAAAATTTATGGAAATTATATTTATTGAATAAAACCTTTGACTTTTAACTGCCTTGACTTTATTTCTGAAGAATTCAGGAGTGATGAATTGCAGGTTAAATGCACTGCGTGTTACAAAAATGCTGTGCATGGACAGTTACAGAATGGAACAAGAGTTTTTGAACAAACCACAAGTCTCAATTCATTGATAAAGAGAGTTTAACTTTTGTCCAGTTTTATTTTCAAACACATTTGTATGTGTGCTCCTCCCACATACGCACATCACTTTCCTTCCATTTCCCCTCTCTTGCCATGTTCAGATCCCTTTACCATCATTGAATCTAGTTCAACACCTGATTAATACGAGAATGATTTAACATGAGGCTTGGAACGTTTCGTTCATGTACTTGTCTCAGAGCAAATGCCTACCATTGTCCCACAACACACTTAGTTGGATCGGGTGAAGATTTGACAGATATATTTGCAATACATGCTAAGCTTTATTAGAGTTACCTTTAGCTTGAGTGCAAAGATTGAACCATAAACTATCCAATGTGTTATTTGAACCCAGAAAATAAATTCAATGATCTGGTTAATCACATTTTATGAATGCAACCATACAGTAAGACAGGTGGTTGCCTCCTGTTTCCTTTAATGATAGAAGACATTATTTTGCAGTCTGGCTTTAATTGGTGGTGGCATCTAACTTCTCTTGGAAACTAAATAATGTGTCAGCCCCAGGACTGAATCCTTGGGCGGTTGACTCAATGTTCAAAAAAGGCAATGGCGTGTCTCTAGAACACTGCCAAGAAAATTGCAGTTATTGCCAGGCATTGAGCTAGACTCAAAGTCATCTTTACTCTGCTTTTTGGATACCTGAGGATGAGAATTTCATATTACCTGTCCTTTTTTTATTGTAAAAACAGATTTGGCACTCTTTCAGAATCCATTACCTGTTGCAGGTAATAAGATTCTCTGCAATGGTCTTAGATTCAGAGTGACTAAGAACAGAAAATCACTTTAGCCTATTTTTGATTTGCTTAGAAGGCTCCTCTGACTAGGTCCTCTTCCAATAAAGCAAAGTCCCTTTATCCTTGCTATCAGTGACAACCTTCACTCACTAACTAGGATCATGGGTGATCCTAGTTAAGGCATCCAGAGCTGGGGATGAGAAAAATTTAAAATGCCCTTTGTAGCTCATTTCCCAGGAGCACTGGTTGAAGATGATGAATAACTCTGGCAAATATCCGAAAAATACTCTGCGGCAGACAAAGGGGCATCCTCATTGAATGGGTTGGCATGGATGAGAAATTTCCTTATGGTACAATGTGGTTGAGTATTTTATGATTCAGCCTGTTAGGGGAACTTGGACATTGTCTTACCAGGTTGCGTGAATATTTATTAAATTTAATTTATTAAATATATATGCCGCCCAACTCTAGGATTGAGAAAGGGGCTTACTACATTCTTTCATGCCCAAAACCCAGCTACTTGATCCAAACAAGTACTCCAAAGGAGTTTCAGTTTAACCCAAAACACATATTAGTCAATGAACTTCCTTTAGGTTAGAATGAAATGAAATGATCTCCCTAGGGATCTCCCTCATCAATATTGACTGCCATCCTTCCAATATTTAAGAAGTTGGTTAAAAATATCTCTTCCACCAAACCTGTAACTGTTTATTTAATGTTTGGTTTTTATCTGGACTTCAGTTGTATTCTGTTTTGTTTATATTGTGTATTTTCTGTAAGCCACTATGATTTCCAAATTGATGAGAAGGCAGAGTATAAATCCAGCAATATATAAGTGCAGGTAGCAAGGCCGTTTTTTGCTTATTTTTCAGTACCAGGAAAGTTAGTATAAAACTAGAAGAAAAATATTAATCGTGACAGGGAATCTGATGAGCATCTGCAGAAGCTGTCACCTTCACCTCCCTGTTATGGTTCACAAAGTACTGCCTAAAGCAGTGTTTTTCAACCTTGGCAACTTCAAAATGTGTGGACTTCGACTCTCAGAATTCCCCAGCCAGAATTCTGAGAGTTGAACTCCACACATCTTAAAAGTTGTGAAAGAACAGATTAAAGAATCTAACTGGTAGATTGAGCAATCTCTACTACCAATTAGATTCTTTAAACTGTTCTTTCCCAGTAGGAACAGGTGAGCCACTTTAGTGACAGTTCTGAGAATGAGAGATTCAGCTTTAGCTTGTTCATCACGCTCTTTAAAAAATCCTCATAACAGTAGAGGCAGAGGCTGTAATTCTCCAACTAAGACAACCTTCCAATGTAAAACCCAATGGAGTTCAAAAAGATCTTCCCTTTCCAAGGATATACTGGCATGTCTCCAGTATTCCAAGGATATACTTGCTTCTTTAGGCTCTGGATCATAGGTCACCTTCAGGAGAGCAGCATGGTTTCTGAGGAAATTAAGCTAAAAAGAAATAATGCCCAGAGCAATGTTTCTTTCATATATCCTTATTACAGTTAGTGCCAGAGGATCAAGGAGATCCTTCCTCTCTTTTCAATGAAAAATACTTGTTTTATTTCTGAGATGGACTGACAGGGCTTCTTCTGTCACTAGCCCTCTGAAAAGTACAGACCTAGCAACTGAGGTACGTGATGTACAAGCAGTGTTCAGTTGGGTGGCCCCTGCAGCTGTCCTTATGCTATGCTTGGAAGATACAGCAATTATTCCTTGCAATAGTCAAATATATAATGAATGAAGAATTGGCTCAAAATAAGTTGAGGTCAACCTGGCACAGGTTACGAAATATGGTGATGTGCAATAAGACCTTGACACAGTTTGAGATCTTCTTGTGTAGTTATCTTAATAATGCTTTTTCCAAATGAAGTCTGAATTTTCTTCCCACTTAGAAATAGATACCAAAGACTGCAAGAACCACATGGCAATCAGTCACAGACCAAATAAAGGCTAAAACTCACATTCTTTGGCTATGTAATGCAAGCAGATGATGGACAAGAAAAACATGTGCAAGGCTGGAGAAAAAGTAGAAGGGAAAAACAGGATGGATGGACATGATCAGGAGATCAATGGAATGTCCTTGGAAGAGATATAGATTGTTGATGGGATCAGAACAAAATGGTGGGTATGTGTCCATACAGCTGCCAGAGACCAAGCATCACTCAATGGCACCTAACAGTCTCAACAGTAAATCAAGATCTATATCTCTGCAATTCATGGATAAAAAAAATCTAAAGTTACCTGCACATCTTGCTCAAACATTGACCAACCAAAACTTTTGGTCATCTTTAATATAAATGACAAGCACTGTGTTTAACTTCTTTAAAGTTAGTTTTTTTTTAAAAAAAATCCTTCAGAGGGGCATCATAGGATAGTTTTGAAGAAATAAGTTACTTTATTTAGCAGGTTCACAATTCATAGCTTTGGACCAACCAAATAAAAACATCAAGGTACCACTTTTTTCTCACCCCACAAATTAGAAACTTCAAACTGTGTTTGGGAAAAAAAAAGAAACC